TCGGGTTATGCGGGGATGGGAGAGGGCTGAAGGCCCACTCCCGACCCGCTAAACCTGACGGTGGTCCTCCTGGCGCTACTCGGAGGCCCCGGGAATCGCTTTCGCATGCAACCGGGGCCTCCGAAACGCCGTGACGCACCCCTTTCGGGTGCGTCCCTCCCATTTGGCGGGTAAACCCGCCAGGCGGAGAGAAGTGGGGACCACCACCACTCCTCTCCCCTCCTTGGAGAGCCGCGTGCAATGAGCTCGAAGGGCCCCCGCCCTTCGTGCTCTGCGACTCTCCCGTCCCGGGTGTTGGCGCTCCTTCCGCCCCCAAAGGGGGGTTAGGATTCGGCGCCAACACCCGAGACCTCTCCCGGAGACTCCCTCCTTGGAGGAAGCCTTCCCTCAGCGGAAGAGAGGGGACGCTTGATCCCACCCTGGGGTGGGGGTCGCGTCCCCTCCGTTCCGCTTCTCCCGTTGATGTTTCTCCCCCGGGGATCAGGTTCCCTCCTTCTCCAAATGGGTTGGGAATCGGCCCTGGTCCCCGCGGGAGTCCTCTCTCTGTCTTCTTCTGGGCGGGATCGGGAGGAGAGAGGTTCCCTCCCCCCATCTCGCCCCCTCCACAAAATCCTCAATTAATTGCCGCGTGAGCGGCGAACCGCCTCCCCTTTGCGCCGGCCCTTTTTCGGCGCATCGGGTGCGCGTTAGGGTCGGCTTCTCTCTCCCTCTCGGCCACCTCCTTCCGCGTGAGGACATCCTCGCAGAAGGAGGTGACCGCCTCCCATTTATGTTGGCTCTCCAGCATGGCCTTGACCATGCTGGGAAGCCTAAGGTCTCCTCCTATGATGTCGGTCAGGACACGGCGCTGGTCTGCCCAGGCTGGGCAGAGTTCGACTGTGTGTTGCGCCGTGTCCATGACCTCGCCGCAGTGATGGCACCCTCTCGTCGGCTCTCTCCGCGCCTTGTCGTGCAGGTACTCCCCGAAGCACCCGTGCCCGGTGAGCACCTGCACGACTTTATATGAGAGCCCAGATCTTCTCGACAGCCAGTCTGGAAGGACCGGCCTTATGGCTTCCACAGCGCGCAGCCCGGCTCTTGGTCGGAGGAGATCCTCCGACCATTTATCTACCGCGCGCTGCTTGGCCTGTCGCCGGGCCACCTCTGTCGCTTTGGGTGTCAGGGCCAAGCCCCGCTGACGGAGGTTGATCTTATGATCGTACAATTCCTTGTACGCCTCCGCCAGCAGATTCCATGGGATTGACCCCGACACCACTAATGCCGCCTCCACAGAGAGCGTGCGATAACCGCGGACGATTCTGATGGCTAGCTTCCTCTGGATACCCAGAAGAAGCCTTTGACTTGGCGCCATCAGGTCGCCCGCCCACACTGGTGCTCCGTAGAGCGCCATAGACGCAATTGCTCCTCTGTAAAGGCGACGTACACTTTCCTTGGGCCCCCCGATGTTCGGCAGCAAACAGCCAATGCTGTTTACCGCCGCCCTAATCCTGGGGGCCAAGCGACGGAAATGTTCCCGCCAGCTTCACCGGCTGTCGAGTGTGAGCCCCAAGTACTTCATATGGGGCTTCACGTCAATCTGGACTCCTTCTACCTCTATTTGGATCTGAGGTGGCTTCCTCCTTGGACCGTTGAAGTGTATTACTTCGGTCTTTTGGAGGGCCACACCCAGACCCAATGCGCGGATTCTACCGACGACGAGTGCCACACCCACCGAAGACAAGTTCCTCGCATCCCCCCAATCATTCCCCCGGGCAAGCACCAGTGTGTCATCGGCGTAACACACAAGGTGCATGCCCGGGAGAAGCGCGCCCCGCAGAACCCGATCGTATCCTAGGTTCCACAGGAGTGGTCCTAAGACCGACCCCTGTGGAACCCCCTTGCTCATTCTTTGTCGATGCGGCCTTTGGTACCGCCCCGTGTAAGATATCCATCTGTCGCTCAGGTAGTCCCCGACCAAGTCTTGTAGATATTGAGGCACTCCATGGTGTTGGAGTGCCTCGCGGACGATTTGCCAAGGCAGCGTGTTGAACGCGTTCGAGATATCGAGACTCGTCGCGAACAACACGCCGCCCTTCTTCACTGCGTCATCCGAGAGGGCCTTGACGCGCATAATTGCGTCTATTGTCAATCTGCCCTCTCGGAATCCGTACTGGCTGTCCGCCAGGTCGGGTCCCACCAGCGACAGGTGGTCCCTGAGGCGGGCAGCTACTATTCTTTCGAATAGCTTGCCCGCCTCGTCTAATAAACATATGGGGCGGTACGCCGCGGGTGATTCTGCGGGTCGCCCCTCTTTCCTTAGGAGGACCAGCTTCGCTTCTTTCCAGATCTTTGGAAACTGGCCCGTCCTAAGGCAGCAATCGAATAATTGTCTCATCCTCCCCCCCAGAACATTTAGAGCTAGAGCCCAAGCCTTGCCCGGGATTCCGTCCGGCCCCGGGGCTGTTTTTCGCCCGGAGCCGTTTGACCGCCCGGGCAAGCTCCCTCCCAGTGACCCCGAGGTCCTCGCTCCATCCATTTTGGGTCGTAGGACCCCGGGGTCTGCCACCACCCTCCTCCTCCCTTTCGTCTGGGGGGAAGAGGGTGGTGACCACCTCCTCCAACATGTCCGGTTGGAGACCCTCTGTGATGGGCGGCCCCCCGGACTGCAGTTTCTTCCTGACAATCCGGTATGGCCGCCCCCACGGGTCCTTGTTGAGGGTTTCCAACAGTTCTTGCCACGCCTTGGCTTTAGCATCCCTGATGGCCTGCTGGAGGGTCTTCTTTGCCGACTTGTAATCCTCCAGCAGTTCGGCCGCCTCTTCGTTGGTGTGACGCCTGCGCCTGCATCGGGTGTATCGGTGTCTCGCTCTTATGCATGTTGCACGCATCCATGCGATCTCCTGAGACCACCAATACACCCCCCTCCTTTTGTGGTTGGCCTGGCACCTCGGCATGGCGGCGTCGCATACTTCCGTCATTGCCGAGCGAAACCAGGCCGCCTCCTCGTTTGCATCGCAGGCGTCGGGCATGGGAGGGTCTTCCCATGCCTTCGCTGCGGCGGCCGCCATCAGGGCATCCTCGTCTAGGCGTTTTAACGCCCATCGAGGGGGTAGGGGTGTACCCCTTCTCTCCACCGGGGGGCGTGGCTGGCGTCCCACCGAGGGTCGGAGATTTCCATCCTTATATATCTATGATCGGATAAGCTCTCCGACCCCGCCATCACTCGCCAGCCACTTACCATGCGCGCGGCTTGTGGGGATCCCCAGGTAACATCCACTATGGATCCCCCGTTGTACCGCACGCATGTGTACTCAGACCCTCTATTTAAAATTAGAAGGCCGAGTTGTGCCCCCCACTCTTCTAGGACCTTGCCCCTAGCGTTGGTCACCGGGGAACCCCACGCGTCAGATTTCGCGTTGAGGTCCCCCATGACCAGTACCTTACCCGGGAGGTGGCGGTCTATCTCGTCCGCCAGCCTACCCAGATATTCCTCGAATTGGGCGAGGTCTCTGTTTGGAGAGAAATACACCCCTACCACTATAGCTTCCCCCCACTTAACCGATACGAAGCCCTCCCCCTTTCCCATTAGGGAGAGAGGGAGTGCTCCCCTCTCCGCCTTTCCGATGATGGTGACGAGGCCCACCTCATCCCCCATCCAGTTGTCTTTCTGGAGGACTCGATAGGGCTCCGCCACCACGGCTAAATCAATGTTCCACTCCGCCAGGTGTTGCATTAGCAGGTCTTGCGCCCTGGCGGAGTGGTTGATATTGGCTTGGAGAGAAGAGCCTTCATTGTTGTTGTTTGCTCTTCTCCTCCCTTCTGACCTCCTTTGCGTTAACAGCCTTGTTGGCTGCTATCTTCGGTGCAATTGTACCCCTTCTCTCCCCCTTGCTTATTTTTGGCCCCTGCTTGCCTTTTAAACCCCCCCTTTGGTTGGCTTTGATATAGTTGCAAGCCTTGCTCCCGTATCTGTGTTCAGCCTTGTGCCCATTATCCTTACAATACGGGCAGCAAGGCTTTTCTGTGCAATCGCCAGCCTTGTGACCGTTTTGGCCACAACGATAGCAGAGGCCACTACGGTCTACCTCTGATTTGCAGGTGGCGCGTGTATGGCCCACCCCCATGCATTTGAAACACTGGAGGGGACGAGTCTCCAGTGTCTCTATCTTGACCGCAGACCAGCCGATAACTAATGGACCTGTTTTGGTCACTTTACTGGCCGCGGTCGATGGTAGCTGGACCCAGCACGATCCCAGTCCATTTCTGGGGGACCTGGAGATTTTTCCAATCTTGACGTCTTCTGCGGAGCAGTTTCCTTTTTCCGCTATAGACGCCTTGATGTCCTCGGTCGTGGTGGAGTCCTCCAGACAGGATATCCGTAGGTCTGTCCTCTTTACCGGGATCGAAACCCTGATCCCCCTGGGTTCCAATGACTTTTTTAGTGCCTCCGCGAGTAACTTGGCCTTTTCCGCGTTTTTTCACCCGGCACCTCATAAAGCATCCCCCCCGTTGCGGCCCTTTTGGGTTTTAATGCTGATATGCCGAAATCCTTCAGGTTAATTTCCTTTTGGATTCCGGCCATCGCCTCGCCCAGCGATCTTTGGGCCGCCTTTCCTTCCCCGTCAGTTGTTTCCATCTCGTCTCCTCTTTGAGATGGTAGGCTGATCAGGATCGCCGCTCTCTTGTGGAGACGAATATTGTTGGCGGTTTTCCCGGCTTCCTTTTTGTTGTCAACTTTTATTGACTTCCCTCCATTTGCCGCCATCTTCGGTTTTTCGGCGGCTTTTTGTGGGGGAGATTTGTGTCCCCCTTTTTTGTTGGCTGTGACTGTTGCTGCTGCTGTGGGATCTTGTAGTTGTTGTTGTTGTTGCTGCTGCCGGTCGTCGTCTTTGCCTCCTTCTTCTTCTTTCTTCTCGTCTCAGCCAGTTTCCACCCTTGGTCCTCTTTTGGGTCATTCGAGACTGAGAGGACTCTCATGTTCGTGCTGACCTCCTCTATGGAAACTATTTTCGGTTTCTGCACTAACAATTTGCCCTCGGTTTTGGGTTTCTTCGGGGGAGCAGGAGCCTGAGGGGTGACAGCGGTGGTGGTGCGTGTCTTCTCCCTGGGGTCTGTTCCCTTTTTTGTGCCCGCTGTTGCTGCCGCATATGTCTTCGGGGTTTTACTCCTGTCGGGACTTTATTGGCGGCCGCTTTTCCCACCGGAGGCCTGAAGCTTTTCTCTGGTGGTAATCGCTCCTCGAATGTTGCAAGTCTGGCGTTTATAATTTCGCCGACTTGCTTGACCAATGTGGCTTCAAGGTCAACCATTTTCGTATCAAGGATCTGTTGTACAGACCCTTGTTGGGTGTCTCCGTTGTTATAGAGATTGTGGTTGACCTTACTGCCTCTCTTGATCTCTAACCTTTGAAGGCTGACAACGGGCTTGGCGGCGAGCTTATCTACGCTGGTTGTAGCTACTTCTTTATTGCCCGCTGAGGCAAATTCCTCTCTCAGGCATCTTATCTCCTCCCTGAAGCCCTGGGCTGTCTTCTTCATGGAGGTGATCTCTGCTTTGAGAAGCCGATTCTCTTCTTTCAGTTTTCTGTTCTCCTCGTTTTCCGTCCTTTTGCCCAGTTCCTTTGTGGCCGTGGATATTATGTCGGCCACTTCTTTCAGGAGCTTGCGCGAGGTTCCCTTATACCCCTTAGTGAAGCTCGATATTTGCCTAATGGCTTGAACGGACTTGTTCACCTCCGCGAGTATTTCTGAAGCGGGAAGGTCTGGGATTTCTCGTCTTTCTACCTCCTCTTCCTTCCCGGTCTCTTTGGGACCTAAGGGATCTATGGGATCTCCTCTGAGGGCCTTCATGGCCCGCGTGTTGGCCCCTTCGGTCCAGTTTTCTATGAGTTCCCTGTCCGCTTTACGGGTCTCTTCCTCCCAGTCAAGGCACTTCTTTTCTTCCTTGGCCCTTTCCAATTCCTTCTTCTTTTCGTATTCCCCGGTTGTTACGGGCCTTCCTCTTCCGTCTTTCTTTTTTTTGACAGAGGGGAGTGGGTATTTGCCCCCTGCATATACTCCTCATCTGTCTCCCCCCCCACGCTGTCGATCGACTTATCTGATGAAATGGAGAGGTCGCGGGGACGATATCCTGTCCTCATCCTTTTACAGTCTCCCTGCTTATTGCTCCAGTTTATCCTTCCGTCCGTTTCGTCCTCCCCCACCTCCTCTGTCTGCGGGTCTTCATCCGGAGAGAGGGGGGTCAATGCCGCGGCAGTTTGCGCTTCCGTACTTATCGCTCCACTAGTGGAAGCTTTGCCCTCCTCTTTTGTTATGGTCGGAGGATTTACATTGGCGATAGGACCCTGTTCCTGGTCCGACTCCATCACCTCCGTGTCGCAGCCCGACTCTTTCCCTGTGTTTTTTAGGGATTTCGCTTCCGACCTCGTTACTCTTTTGTGATAATATTATAATTCTCCATTTCATTTAATCCCATTCCCCCCAGCGGCTCGGTGGACCGGCGTATCTCCCACCGACCGACCCGAACCGAAGATGCCCGAAACATGACCGGCACATCCCACCGGCCGGGCCCGGTGGACTCACCGGGAGTCCACCTATGCCGAAACCGGAGGGGATAAAGACCCCCCCCCCGGCCCGACTCCAGCCCCTTACTCCCCCGTGTGGGGTTTTGACGCCGCACACGGGTTTTTCAGGGGTCCCACGCCTCCGACAGCGTGGGCACCGCTGGGGGTGGCGCCACCCAGGGGGCCCCACGGACGCTTTGGACAGGGTCGCCGCTCCCGGCCCTGCCCTACACGCCGTGGCGACCAGCATTATGTGGGCGCCCCTCGTCGAAGGCTTTCGACGAGGGGCAGGCGCCTCTCCGGTCGGTCGGTTCGAAAGAGGAAACGGTCCCGACCGACCGGGGATATCCACTCTCGCCCAGGCCCCGCCTCGGAAACGTCCGAGCGGCTCTGGGCAGGGCGTACCCACTAGCCCTGCCTTCCTGCCTAAAACTATCTCCGTCAACCTCTTTAGCAGCCCTTTTCTCTCCTTCTGGTCCTCTCCTTCTAGTCCTCTACATATTATGTTCCTCTTTCTTCTTCTCCTCCTTTCCTGTTTTTCTATTTTCCTCTCCGATCTCTCTCTTCTTTCCTTTTCTTCCTTCTCTTCCCATTCTCTTCTTCTCCTCTTCTCTTTCTTCTATTTTCTTCCACCTTTCCTCTTCTTTATTCCGTTTGTCTTCCGTCTCTTATCTCTTCCTTTCTCCCTCTCTTTTCCCTCTCTTTTTTCTCCTCCGCCGTCCCTCTATTTACCTCTTCCTTTTTTTCATTTTTCCTTCCTTTCCTCCTTCGCTCTTCTTTCTCACCCAGTATCCTATTTCTTCTCCCCATGCCCCTTCTTCCTTCTCTATCCTCTCCCCTTCTTTTTCCTTCTCATTCTTCCTGTCCTCCTTCTTCCTCCTCTCCTTTTCTCTCGCTTTTCTTCCTCATTCACCATTTTCACCATTCCTCCATCCTGCATTTCCTTTTGTCCTCCTTTTCTCCTTTCTTCCTCATCATCTCTCCTTTTTATACCATCTTCCTTCTTTATCACTTCTCTTTCTTCTTCCTCTTTTCCTCCCGTCACTTTTCTTTTTTCTTCTACTCTCTTCTTCTTTTCTTCTCTTCCTTCATCCAACTTGTCATCTCCCTTAACCACCTCGATCAGTTTCAACAATCTATTTTCACTCACCTCCTTCACCTCCTTTATTCTTTTTCATTCTCCACCTTCTCTATTTTCTTATTCAATTCATTCACTTCTTCTTACATATGCAGCTTTTGTTCTTTGCCATCTCCTTCCTTCAACATATCACTCTTTATCTTTTCCTTTGCTGTACTATTCTGAATCCTCCGACTCTTTATCCCTCACTTAACTTTCTCTGTTCGTCTCCTCACTTTTTATCACTAACTTCTCCTGCCGCTTCCTTTTCTCTTCAGTCTCCTCTCGTCTTTCCTCGCTTCCTTCACCTTCCTCCCTGTCCTTCTCCTGCCGCTTTCCTTCTTCCTCTGTCACCGTCTCTTTTCTTCTTTTTCTCTCTCCCTCACTTTTTATCCTCGCCGTCTTCTTTCCTTTCGCCTTCTTTACTTCCTTCTTTTGCAAGTCTTTGTCTTCACTTTCGTATCTACGTCTCTACACCATGTGCGTATTTGCGTATTTTGCGTGACTGTGCACTTGTGAATTCCTTTCTCGCACGTGCTTCCTATGCTCCCTCTCCAGTACCTCTGTCGCCCTCTCGCGCCCACCATTACTATCACCTTTCCTTCCTTACTAATTTCTTTTTTCTATTTTACCGACCCTCTCCACTCTCCTCTACTGCTCCTTTCTACACAATTCTTCTTCCTTTTTCCCTTTCCTTCCATTTCTCTTCCCATATTAACTCCTCTCCATATGTCTCCTTTTCCGCGTCTCTCTCTCTCTCTTCCCTCCCCTTCCTTCCTCCCTCCCTCCTTCTCTCTCTCCTCCTTTCCTCTCTGGCTACGTGCCCTTTTATGTCATCTGCCACATGTATTGTGCCGTATTCCTTCTTTCTCCTTTCCTTCTTTTCTCTTATTTTCATTTCATTTTGCTTCCTTTCTTCTCTGTTTTCTCCTTTCTTTTTCTCTTTCTTCCTACATCTTCCTTTGCCGTGTGCCTCCTCGTGTCCTGTGCCACGTATCGGTTGTTCCACAGCTTGTCAATCTCTTCACACAATTCTTCTCCATCCTCACCCTTTTATTATTCCTCTTCCTTCCTTCTTTTCTGACCTTCCTTACTCTATTCCTCATTCTTCCTCACTCAGCGTTCTTTTCCATTCTCCTCCGTTATCCCATAAAACTTTTATTTCTCGGAGCACTGTCACACAACGTCCTTTTACTTGCCCCCATCTTTCCATCCCCCAATTTTTATATTTATAAATATATAAATTGTTATAAATTATTATATATTTATATAATTATTAATTATAATACATTATATATGAATTGTAATATTTTTTTTATCAATAATTCATTTTTTCTGTGATATTACGAAGGAAAGACGGTCATCACAAGTAGCAAGCGTCTGGCAAATATAAATGGAGCGCATATAATGGCATTTCTAGCTTATTTCTGAAAAATGCGTTGTCGAAAAACAACTTTATTATATATGATTGGATTTGGTATTAAATAGGCTTTCAGAATTGTTATAAAAAATTTTTAAATTTTTAAAAATTATGGAGGGGAAGAAAAAATTCGAAAAATTTGACATTTTTGAAAAATTTGACATTTTTGAAAAATTTGATTACACTGTTTTAAAGAGAATTAAAAACCATAAAATTTTTATTTAAAACATTTTTTTTATATATTTGACCGTTTCGACAATATTAGCTCAGAAGTAAAAAAGCCGATTTTTTCAAGAGGGCGGTTTACCGCCTAAATGTCGAGATACGCAGCTAAAAAAAATACGGGTCTAATATTTTTTAATGCTCTAAAACATATTCTAAATTCATTAAAATCGGTGAGAGTCAATTCCGACCGTTCTCTTGCAAGAAGACTGCCTTACCCTCGGTTTTTGATCCGTGGTTTTTCTGCAGGTCCTAAGGCGAATGCCGAGGCAGGGATTTGAGGATTCCACGAGGGACGATGGGTCCACGGAGAATATCCTGCCCCCTTGTCCGAAGATAACTCATGTTTTGACGTTTCTCCGGAAAACGGTACAACGGGAGCATCAGTACAGCAACGAGAAAAGCAGGGATTTTCTTTTGGTCGGTTGGAACAGGAAAGAGTCTGGCCAACTCTTTCCAGAAGACGCCGTTCGAGTGCGGAGGATGGAAAAGGACGTAGCCCGGTAATCCGTAGCAGCAGCTCGGGGAGGGCAAGAATTTGTCCGGACAGTGCTAACGCTGAAATTGGAACCAGACAGGCATTTCGCTCGACAACCCGTAGCAGCAGCTTGGGAAGAGCGGGAGAATCGTCGGTGCTCTAGGATCAGCAATTTCATTAGCAATCTCCGTGTTGAATTGTCAGGACGACAATCTTAAAGGGGGACAATGTTGCGCTCCTGGATCTGCACTCTCATCCCTACATCCTGAATAATTCCCTATACGTTTCCGGAAGATCGTCGTCAAGGTTGTTTAATAAACAATTCCCGGCTTTTCGTTGTTTTCCGGCACCATATCAGATTTGTTCTTGAACTGTCATTTCGTGAGGACGTTTCCTCTAACAGCTGAGACTTGCGACCGTCTTAGATTTATGTATATTATATTATATTTTATTTTATTTTATCACCGCGGTGTTTTGTATTGCATTGTAATATTAAATATTATTTCTGTGTTACGCAAGTGTATTCTTTTCGGCTGTGAGTGAGAGTGTAAAAAACCAATTGCCGACCGAGTTATTCTTTGACTTAAAGGTATTTCTATATATATTTATTACTTAGTGATAAGGAGAAGGGAAGAATGAAATATGAACGAAGAAGAGGAATAGACTTGTTTGGTTAATTAAAATTGGAAAAATTAAAAAGATGAATTGCTAAATTGAACTGAGGCTTATTCTCGAAGAATATCGCATACGATATTCTTTGAGAATAAGACCCTTGAATAAATTTTTTATTCTTTATCTATTGAAGGTTTTAGAGTGATATGTTAGCTGCAGTCCAAGTGTTTCAAAGCTTTTTTCTCTTTCCTTGTGTTCGAAATCGGATAAAGAAAGCTAAAAGGAAGGGCATTAATATATTACATTCAAATTCATGCAATATAAGCATGCAGCATGCACATAACTAGCATTACTTATATAAAACCTTAAATTGTAACAGGCAGATTTTAATATTATTTAAATCGCGCTCGGCCGCACAAGTATACATATACCTCGCGCCTGCGAAAAAGAAGCGCTTGCGTTAACTTTCATTTAATCGTAAACACCGCGGTCGCGCGAGAGGAGAGAAAACCAAGTGCCAATAACAACAAAATAAGACTTGCTAAAAGGTAAATAATTATCGTAAACGTACTTTCGCCTTTTACATCTCGATCGAACAAGGGAAAATGTTCGCGAAGGTTCTCGAAATACGGGCCTATATAAACCTCCTCTCTCGTGACCGCGGGGCTCTTTTCCGATTGCTTGTCGCGTCAAGAGTGTGCTTATACTTTACGAAAAAGATCGCTTGTCTTTTTCGTTTTTCACGTTTAATTACCGTTGCTTGCGGACATTCAGTAATTTATTTTCGACCCGGCTTTTCTCTCGTTTATTGCATTCATTTCTAATACATTCGACTCGGCTATCTTTTGGTAAATTCTGTGCGGTTAAACAATTGTATTTTTGTTAATAATTGAAATATATTTTTGTTAACGATACGCGTGTGTCGAGTGTAGTGTCTATCTATCGTCTCGCTTCCGACCGTCCTTTCCCGCTTTCCGTCGCGCATACCTTGTTTGTTTAAAGAAAGAAGAAGAATATATTTTGAAACATTTATAGTGCAAACCGCAATTTTTGTTTTGTTTGTTTTGAGGTTGTTCTTAAATGTGTGATTGGGATTATTTGTTTTTTTAAATTACTTTATATATTTATTGTGTTAAAATGTTTTTTTTTTAGTTTTTTCTTTATTTTTTTCGCTTTGGTTATTGAAGTTTTTCTATATGTAAATAATTATTTCAGGAACTACATTCAAAAAAAAATTTCAAAATTTAATTTTAATGATAAAGAAACATTAATGTTGGAAGTCCAAAATAGGCCTGCATTATGGAATTATGGATTACCATTAAAAGAAAGAAATTCAAAAATTAAGAAGCAATTGTGGGAAGAAATATTTTTTGGGAAAGTGGGAAGAATACAATTGTGCACAAATATTTAATGGTAAGAATAATTTCATAGGACTGTTCTTCAAAAATGCAAATTAAAGATTTTGGTGAAAAAAATTTGTTATAAAAAATTTAGTACAGATGTATTAAAATCAAAATTTAAAAAATATAAATATGATGTTTTTTAAATCGGCCAACAGAGCCAAAACACGAAAAATTAATTATTCGGAACTGTATCTCTTGGTTTGAGATCACTAAGTTCCATATATAAATTAATCTCGAAACTTACATATGGAGAAATAGGCGCGAAAAATATAGATTCGAAAAGTCGCTGAAGCGGGAATCAAACCGGCGTCTTTCACTTTCCGGGCGACTGCTCTTACCAACTAAGCTATTCAGACCCTTTCGATCCTATATTTTCATTTGCCTTTAAGTAGATGTTAGTAAATAACCAATTTAAAAAACATCATATTTATATTCTTAATATTGAGAGCCGATAAAAATATTTCTTTGTTTTTATTTTAATTTTGTTGATGAATAATAATAAATAATAATAATTTTTTTAAATGTACATTGTATTAATTTATATAATTTATAGTACTGTATCAAACATAGAAAATGAAAGAAATGAGGGAGAATCATGCGCTTCTAATTTCTCAATAAATATGAATGATGATTCATCTATTATTCAAACAGGTATTGTTAATAAAATTATTAGAGAACTAATGTGTGTGTGTGTAATAATAATTACAGAATAAAATTAATGTAATGATTTCAGATTAAATTAATACAATTGTCGCTCGTATATTGAAAACAAAGTGATAAATATAAGGCCAACTTATCGAGCTGATTATTCAGCTCGATAAGTTGGCCTTATATTTATCACTTTGATTTCAGATTCTTCTGGAAAAAGAAGAAAACGAAATGATAGTGACGACACAACCAGTGCTATTAATAGAATTGCTAAAGCAATTTGTCAGCCTAATACTTTAACATTGCCTCTTCCTCCAGAATTGGATGATGTAGACTCATTTTTAATAGCAATAGAACATAATTTAAGAAAACTACCAACACTTTCAAGATTTAAAGTAATACAACAATTCTTAAAAATAACTTATAATGCAATATCAAAACTTTAAACTTACTTTAAATTTAACTACTACTAATTAATATATTACTATTTTTAAATTTTACTACTATTAATTTTAACTCATTATTAGTCTCGTTATTGTTCATTTAGTAAAAAATGTTGTGTTGAGAAGAAATACAATTTTATTTTTTTGTTATATTTATAAACTTATAAGATGTTATAAGATTATAAAGTTACATATTTACATAATATAAAGTTACATACAATATTATAAAAGTGTAATTATTTAAAATTAAAAATTTTTAAACAGTATGCCAAAACCATAATAATTAACAATGAGTAAATTGCCATGGTAAGGCTCCTTTGTTATTGAAAAATGTGCAAAAGTCTTCACGAATTTTTGCTGCTTGTCGAGAACTATTGTTTGTACTACATCGAGTTATATCTTGCAATGCACTATTAATTATCTCTTGTGTCCAAGAACCATGAATAAAGCGGGGAGCACACACTTTTGCATAAGCGCATAACGCATAAGCATAAAGAAATGAGCCAATCAGGATCTTTTATTTTTACCCTCACTCCTTGTCCCGAGGAGCTTGCATTGTGCATACAGCGTAATGCATAAGGTGTCGAAAAATTCATAAGAACAAATTTTTTATGGTTATGGGTTGTGATTGTGCAATAGTCTACGAATTTTACAAGATTCTCATATCGACGTCATAACCTCAATACGAGGTTAAAGACGTTATTTCACCAAACTGGAAAAACCCCCTATCGACGTTATATAACTTTATTAAAAATCTTCTTCGAAATATATCTGTGAGAAGGTGTGTTTAAATATTCTTTATTAATATTAAATAAAATTCTCTGATTATTATAAAATTATTTCTTTTTCTATTATTAATTATATAAATATTGATAGGAAAATGGATCATGATTCATATTATTATGCTTCATTATATCAAGATGAGGATGATGAAGATTTTGATTATGGTGAAAATAAAAATGAAGAAATGAGTGAAGATGCTTTGCTGATTTCTTTAGTGCGTGACCATCCTTATTTATACAATAAGGAACTGACAGATTTTAAAGATACCATTAAGAAACAGAATGCTTGGGTAGAAATTGCAAGTATCATGAACATGACAGGTATGTACATAATGCCTTTCTACATTTGAATTATATTAAGTTATTATTTTAACTCATTTCCAGTAAAAAAAAAGTTACTAATTAATAAAATTATAAAAAAATTTTGACACTTTTTTTGAATAATTAAAACCTATATTTAAAATAAATTTTTATTAGGTGCTTTCCATTTAGCAACACAAATCAACACAAGCGTCTATTTTTGTTCTACATTATGTCGATTTTTATTGCTAAATGAAAAAAGCATCCATTATTAAATTATTATAAATATTATTAAATTACACAGGCCCACAAAAAAAAATTGTCTGCGCCATGGACTAGACCATGATATTCCCATGTATTTTTGCCTGCTGAAACCGAATATGACCTCAGTTTTGCCTTTACACGTCAGGATTTTTTCTACAGCCAAAAACACCTTGGAAAATTCATTAAACCTTGAACCAGCAAACTTTATATTTCTATAACCCCGTTATCCTTGAACAGCAAACCCCATAACCCCATAACCCACAACTCCATAACCCTATAAATCTGGAAATCTAGCAGACTCCCAATAACCACATGACCCGTGGGAGGAGAGAGCCAAGACAGCAGACTCTCAAAAAACCACATGACCCTGGGAGTTATGCGGACAGAAGGAAGGATATACAATAACATACATAATATAATTTTATAAATTTCTAACTCTGGAATCCTTAAGCACCAAATATTTTATCTTGGAAAGTTTTTAGACATCACAGCTTATGATTGTTTGTGTTTTCGTACCCTCTTATCTTCAAATGATCTGTGGAGTGGGTTTCGAAAACACAAACGATCATAAGCTGTGATGTCTAAAAACTTTCCAAGATAAAATATTTGGTGCTTAAGGATTCCAGAGTTAGAAATTTATAAAATTATATTATGTATGTTATTGTATATCCTTCCTTCTGTCCGCATAACTTCCAGGGTCATGTGGTTTTTTGAGAGTCTGCTGTCTTGGCTCTCTCCTCCCACGGGTCATGTGGTTATTGGGAGTCTGCTAGATTTCCAGATTTATAGGGTTATGGAGTTGTGGGTTATGGGGTTATGGGGTTTGCTGTTCAAGGATAACGGGGTTATAGAAATATAAAGTTTGCTGGTTCAAGGTTTAATGAATTTTCCAAGGTGTTTTTGGCTGTAGAAAAAAATCCTGACGTGTAGGGGCAAAACTGAGGTCATATTCGGTTTCAGCAGGCAAAAATACATGGGAATATCATGGTCTAGTCCATGGCGCAGACAACTTTTTTTTTGTGGGCCTGTGTTATTAATGAAGTTAATGAAATTTTTATTGCAAGTGGAAGAGTGTCAAACCAGATGGATCCGACTGAGGGAGCGCTATTCACGTGAAAAAAAGCAACAACAAGAAGAAACAACCACTGGAAGTGGAGTATCAAAAAGAAAAACGTTTGAATTTTTCGATAATATGCAATTCTTGGAACGATTTGTTAAAAGGAGAAGGTACGATTAATATATAATCTATAATATTAAATATAATATAGAAGTTAGAATAACAAGAAACTTATTTAAAGACCAACGTAACGAGCACTTATTAAGGTGATATAAAATAAACGATTTATTCAATCTATATTACAAACAAATGTTTTGACTGCACGCAGCCTTCTTCAGTAAAAAATTCAATTCAAATCAATATAACATATCTTAAAGTTAATAGTTTTTCGTTAATATGAGTCGGGAATTTTATTATATAATTCAATTATTAATGAGAGGTCTTGTCATACGTGACTTTCAGTGAAGAACAACATATATTATAATGGGGTTGACAACAACGATTTCTCACATAGAAATGAAATGAATGCGGAATCTTTCCAACATCTTAAATGTTGTCGCATCATAAGATGTATAATATGCACAAGTTCAGCGAGATATATATTATATTTGTTTCAATTCCCGACTCATATTAACGAAAGACTATTAACTTTAAGATATGTTATATTGATTTGAATTGAATTTTTTACTGAAGAAGGTTGCGTGCAGTCGAAACATTTGTTTGTAATATAGATTGAATAAATCGTTTATTTTATATCATCTTCATAAGTGCTCGTTACGTTGGTCTTTAAATAAGTTTCTTGTTGTTAATAATATACGAGCGAATATAAGTATTATTTGATATTTTTGAAGTTAGAATAGTTAATAATGCACATTTTTGTTTTTAGAAAAATAAAAGTATTTTATTAAATTGATAGAACTGAAACAAATAATACAAACAATTAATATTCTAAGATATATTTTATTAAAATAATATTTGATTGTTTAGAAAATTCCTTTTCAAATTTGAGAATTAAAATTGGAAATAAACTTCTGGAACAATCTAATATATTATACATGTATTCGCAAGTATATTTTAATTCATTTTTTATATTACATCTTTATATTTATTTCTTTTTCTTTCAGAACATTGACCAACATGCCAAACAAAAACGTTCCTCCAGGGACAGGATTTTCCAATCTACAAAAGTATGTAACATGTAATCAAAGGTTTGTTCATGTCACATGCCCCAACATCCCAAGGAAAACAAAAGGTCAAAATGACGTCAATTTGACGTCATATTGACTAAATTTGACGTCATATTGATCAAAAAATGACAAATTTAGTCAATATGACGTCATTTTGACTTTTCTGTTCTCCTTGGGATGCTCCTTTTCACTTCAATGCAATATTGAAGCTTTTATCCAAATTATCCAATAGGATCGCATTGGAGTTAAAAGAAGCATGTTGGGGCATGAGACACGAACAAACCTCAAGTATCAATTTTTATATACAATTGAAATGTTATATTTATATTATCTCAGTAATAAAACCTTTGTTATTTTATTTCAGAAATTTTAACTCGCATAACGAAAAAGAGAATAATGCATCTTCCATAAACGTGGCTACTTCAAGTCAACAATCATCAAAAAAAAGCATCATAAGTTTAACAAGTAATACCGTGCAGCATGTAGAGTTAGTAAAAGTTTTCATATTTTTTTAAATTCATAAATACTTATACAGAAACATAAATAGATTAATGACATGTAAAAACTTTTGTTTTTAGTAAAGCCGTCTTAACTTCGAGTGTGCATTTAAATTTTTCTGATAGCTCTTCCACGTCTGCAACAAATGTCTCTAGCTGTATGCAAGACAAAAGTTTTATTACACAACAAAAAAAGACGAAAGAAAAGCCAGATGTTCTAGAAAGTGCCATTGGCAAAGTTATCTCTTTATTAGAGAACAGATGTGCACTAGTTTCTTCATCGCCATCATTTGTAAAGCCGGAAATAGAAGAAGATTTGGCTTTTGGTCAATTAGTATTTTCATCATTTGTTAATATGCCCCAAGAAACAAAGGCAGACAAAAGGATAGCAATAATGCATATTTTATACAACAAGTAATTGTTACGTTTTCGTTCGTCCGTTTTTGGGTCAGTATATTTAAATACTTTACCCGGGAGTTGGACGGGTTGTGTGTACTTGGTTTTCAGCCCCGAATAGGAATCTTAATTTATAAACTTTATAACGCGGATCAGTTTTGTTAATACGGCGATAGTCGGAATAGTCAGGCTCGACGTTAATAGGAGTTAGTCGGTAAGGAATAGTAGGAGATTTCTCGATTTGGGTGTTTGCTTCTAAATCTTGGAGTTTTTGCGTGAGGTGAAAGAAATCTTGTTGTGAATCAATCGCTTGTTTTATCTGGTATCTGAGCCGTTTGAGCTGTACCTGTTTACCTGCCCTTTTCTTCATGAGAATGTTAAATATGACGGAAGCTCCCAAAATGAACTTAAGGTCGCTACGCAAGGCAGCGACCAGACCGATTCGCTACGCTCTTCGGCAGCGAAAGGGGTGAGCTCGATTTGAGAATAATGGTAGATAACCTCGTACACCAAGAGCAGTGTTCGTAGGCGCTACGCTCTTCGGCAGCGCCGGTTACCAATTCGCTACACTCTTGGTCAGCGAAAAGGCCGTTACCCACTCTCGGAGATGTCTTATGTTATATGTAAATTTTAATCAAAACTCGGATCAGATTCCAAATGACTAAGTGGTATTATCAATTACCTTTTATTCTATAACTGGTCACAAAATTACAAGTCTAAAGTACTGAATTAGTCGTAACGTAAGAATAAAGAAAACGAAGGATGATAGTTGAAGTTCGGGGAGAACTATAGCTACGACAAAGGTTTCGTTAAGATTTCAACTGCGATGCACAGCGTTTTTCCAGGCCTATTTATACTCGAAATTTTACCACCTCCATCTATGAATTTTGGAGGGAGGCCCTTATCTCGGTTTGTTTATAAGGTTTTGTTTATAAGATTTGTTTATAAGGTTTATAAACAACCCTGGCAATCCTGCATATCGGATGTTAGTTTAGGATCAACTGAGAGCGATGAAAATTTGTCAATACGTGACAATAAGCAAATTCTAGCGATCCTGCGTATCGGATGTTAGTTTGAGTTAAGATAAATCTAACCGAGAGCGATGAAAATTTGTCGGTACGTGACATAATTGTTGCATATTTTATGATACGTAATTGTTGCACCTTATGATATTTTGTTTTTTTCTTTTATGACATAATTATTAGCGATATATGTCTAGTTAAATATTTTCATGCAACATGTAATAATTAGTAATACACGTTATTTTAAATTTATTTTTGTATGCAACATGTGAGAATTAGTAATGCACGTTATTTTAAGTTTTTTTTGTATGCAACATGTAATAATTAGTAATACATATTACAGGTTTGTCCGGAAAGTAATGCGTCGCATTTTTTTAAAAAAGAATTTATTGATCGCATAGGTAAAACACTTAAAATTGTTCGAAGTATGACCCTTCTGCGTCAATACATTTTTGCCAACGCGATTTCCATGCGTCATAAGATTTCTGGAACTCCTTGACTGGGATGCTGTTCAGGGAGGCCGTCGAAGTAGCTTGTACGTTGTCAACCGACTCGAGCTGTTGTCCTTTGAGCTCCCTTTTCAGCCGAGGAAATAAAAAAAGTCCGCCGGGGCAAACTTTCTTGAGCATTTCAAAAGTTTCCAGCGGCGTCTTGTCCAGCTTCACGCAAAACTTTATCGCATAGCGTTGCTCTATCGTTCTCTCCATCACAAGTTCGACGCGACCACTAAGCAGAGGTTCACAGAATAAGCCGTCCTAACCCTCCAAGCGCATGGAAACAATTGAGCGACCTACCGTTGGAAAGCTAAGGGTACCCCCCTTCCTCCCAACCGGTCCCATCGCTCTGCGATGTATAGTCGCGTCACAAAAAAATGCGACGCATTACTTTCCGGACAACCCTGTATTTTAAGTTATTTTTCTATGAAACATGTGATAATTAGTAATACACGTTATTTTAAGTTTATTTTTCTATGCAACATGATAGTGATAGTGAAATATGTTATTTTTTTATCCAATATGTGATAATATTTTTTTTTTATTTTTAAATAACATGCAATTATTAGAGATAAGATATTAATTTTGAATACAATTCATGTGATAATTAGTAATGTATGTTCATTTCTTTTATGCAATACATAAGTGGCACAAAATGTTAGAAGAAACAAGAGGATTAAAATTAAAAGAAACAAAATGTTATATTTATCTGTTTTTATGCAATGTAATACATAATTTTATTATAAAATAAATATATATTTATATAAGTAAATAATTTTAATTTTTATTAGTATTTTACTATGCATCATCACGATGCTGTCCTCTTCTCACATAATCATATTGCCAAAAAACTTGACCAGGTGATGTCAAAAATAATTAGCCAGTTTATCTCGTTGATTATAAGCAATTTTAGTTGCATGATGTTTTGAAATAGGAGCTATATCTCTCAATGCGTTTTCAGTATATCGTCGCCATTCCCCGGGGATTATATAATATTACTTTCACAATCCTCTGAATCTACAAAATGTGGAGGACAGTATATTCTATCCTTCGCTTCCACAAGATCTTCCTGAGATTTTATGAAATTATGCAGACATATAGTCGCCATAACAACCAAGTCTATTTATTTTGGATGCATATTAATAGGTTTTCGATATATTCTCCATCGGGAAGATAAAATACCGAAGGTATTTTCAATTGTGCGCCTTGCTCTGGATAATCTGAAAATCATTAAAGTGCGTTATAAGCTTAAGATATATTTTTATAATACAACATTAAATTTCTTTTCTATTCCTGCACTGAATTGTGCACAATGGTGCAGTAAGTTAGAGTGAAACAAAATCTACTTGCTTCATTCTAACTTATTGCACCAGTTTGCACAGCTCAGTCAGTGAAATAGAAAATAAATCTATAGTAATAAAAATAATTACGCAAATTGCTAACCTGTAATTAAATATTTTCTTTTTTCATCAATTATTTTTCCGGAACAAGGTCGCATCATGAAAGTATTGATCGAGAAACCACTATCTCCAAGAAAAAAACACGGCAATGTAATGTTACTTCCGGGAAGATTTCCGGTCCCTTTGGGAAGATTCAAACTTTTGCTTTCCAATGCCGAATAAATTTCAGAAGATGTAAAAATACCACCGTCACTATTGCTACCATATGAACCAATGTCAACTAGCGTAAACATGTATTTTTTTTTACATGCGGCTAGTAACACACAATGCTAAATGTTTTTTTATAATTAAAAAAATAAACTCCCAGAATTTGGCGGAGTTTGTATCTCTACATGTTTGCCATCAAAAGATCCTGCACAATTGGGAAAATTCCAAGTTTTAAAAAACCCAGTACAAATTTCTTTTTCCATTTTTCTTCTGTTGGCAAGTTTAGGTAAATCGGCTGCAATACCTGAGCTAAAACTTGGCAAGTTTCACAGATAATTTTTCGAACAGTTGACTCTCCACATCTAAATGCCAATGTTATAGATAATATTTGATCTCCGGTTGCTAAAAACCTGCACAACATAATTGATAAAAATATTGATAAGAAAAAATACGAGTAACATTAAAAAAATAATATCTTATACATATATGTTTCATTCTTCAATTGAATAGTTCATAACAAAACTACCTTAGAGTTATGATCAATCGCTGTTCTGAATTTAATGATCGATGGTTTGATTTGGTCAAAAATGGTTTTGTCATTTGTAACAAAAGTTTGAAAGTTTTTTCTCTCATTCTCGTATATCGAAAAAATATATAAGGATCATGGTGCCTCATCTCTTGAAAAAATGTTCATAATCTCCATACATGGGACGTAGAGTGTTAATGGGTCTTACCCATCATCTCCGATTTATCCATCTTTTACTTCGTCTCCTTCTTTTAATAATGCCAATAGACACAATTGCAAAACGAATAAAATATCATCCTCATTCATACTTATGGAAGCCCTGTATCTATTAAGTATATAATCAGACATTGCTTAAAAAAATATAAGAAACATAGTTTCCAACATCTTATATATTTTTAATTATATTTTAATTACATATTCCTATTATTTTATTGTTTTTTACAGTTATATATAAATATATGAATTGATAATACTGCTTATTCATTAAGCTTTTAGCGTCTACATTTATATGAAAATTGTATTATAAATATAGACTGTTGATATAAATTAGTTATGCACTGATTTACCTTACTGTTGGATTTAAAAATATGATATGTGCTGTAGATATTTTTTCTCCTGCTAATTGCTGTACATGTAAATCATGCGCTTTTACAATGCCTGGGAAAGCTTCTAATTTCACACTTTAAGGTTAAGAAAGCGGACTGAAACGGACTACGCCATCTTGAACATAAAGTTATTATGCATCGTACATACGTGTACGTGTGCGTTGCTTCATATTATGCTGTGTACTATGCATTACGCTTATGCGCCTATGCAAAAGTATGTGCTCCCCGCTTAAACTCATCTGGACCATCTTGATCTACCATTGTTGGAGTTACATACTGATTTTCTTCTAAATCTTGATGTCGAATCCAATTATGAAGATATAATAGCTTGAACAATTTTCATTGCTTTATCAACTGTACAAATTATAGATCTTTTACAAATCCGCCATTGACTAACCAAAATCCCGAAAGTATTTTCAATAGTCCGTCTCGCTCGGCTAAGTCGATAATTATAAATTGTTCGATCTTGAGTTAAACCAGCCTTACTAGGATAAGGTCGTAATAAATACTTTGTTAATGAAAATGCTTTGTCGCCTACCAGTACATAAGGTAGAAGTGGTCCGTCTACTGTCAAAGATTTCCATTCTGGTAAATTCATTTCTTTTCTTGTTAACTTTTGACCAATTATTGAATCTTTAAATATTCCCCTATCGCTCCGTCGACCATAGTCTCCAATATCGACAAACATAAACATGTAATTAGCATTACAGATTCCAAGTAATATAATACTATGGGTATTTTTATAATTAAAGTAGGATGACCCTGCAT